ATCGCGACCGTCGGCGCGCCGAGCATGCAGCGATAACCTTGAAGTGAGGTTGGGCGGCCCAGCATCGGCATCGCTAGGGGAGAGGAAACGGTAAGTTAAGGTAAAGAAGAGGGAGCGAGGCGGGTGTCGATGGCGAACTCACCTCCAATGAAGGGAAGGGTGGGGAGGTGCACACACGGACCACGGAAACAGGCTCGAGGACGTCGGAATACCGGAGAGGACATCGAGAGCATTGCAGCTCGGGCCGGTACCTGCAACAGTTTCGGTATGTGAGGAAAGAGCACAAAAGCCAAAGGAGAAGAGATACATTACCCGGTGGCCGTATAACAGTACACTGTGAGGAGGGTCACTACCGATCTTCTTGTAGAGGTCGAAGTGGGTCAGAGGTAGCTTAACAGCCTCGCAGATTTCCTGCTTGCGTCCGTGCTACTGATGACTCGGAATAGCTAACGCTAGGCCCTCCCTCCTTGATTAGCGCTGATATCGAGGAGTCGGCTTCTGGTGGAAGGATGTCGACCAAGGCATTCGCGTGTCAATACTACGGATGAAGGCACGATGGCAAGTCACGGAGAGGATGGTAAGCCGAAGCTACGGCGTGCTACGGTTTAGGTACTCGGTGAGCTTCGGGATGATTTCCGAACTCCGAAGGCGCTTAGCTAATTTACCCATCGCGAGACCAGGCTTGCAAACGTTGCATTGCTAGTTTGCTCATCTAATGTCTTCCTTTTCTTGAGAAATACGAACACCTCATACTCACAAACTGCACGAATTTTATTCTATTGACATTGTATATATGAGCTAATATGGAGAACATCAGTATCAACTAGTCGTCATCAATCGTAAAGTCGTAATCTTCGTCCTGAATCATAAGTTGCTCCTTTTGCCAGCTTTTCAAAGTAGCCAGCCAAGTTTCATCGTAGCAACTACGGGGAAGGCCCCTAGGAATAACCCCGAGCTCTGTACGCTCGCTTTCCTTGCGGATTCGCGGCGGGTTTCCAGGTGTAGCTCGTTTCCCACAGGGGAATCACCATGCCTGTCGGTATCGAAAATCCAGCCACCGTAGAAACGTCGTAAACTCCTGGCTGCGCCACTCCGGAGTCACTATGAGATACTGCTTCGGTGAAGTGCTAGGTGCGTCGTTGTCAGTCTCGTCGCCGCTCATGGCCCCTCGCTCCATGATGCTGAACAAGCCTTCGACATGACGATTGAGTGACGCTGTATCTCTGCACACGACATAGCGATTGTCCATCAACTGTAGGTTGCGCAGATGAGCACGCGGTCCGTTATGCAAGTGTAATGATCGACTTACCACAGTTTTGCGGGATTTCTTAGCGTTACGCCTCTTCCGCTCGTCAGGATCCATTCCATCTTCGCCCTTGAGGAAGTCACGATAAAGCGGCTTGATGTAGGTGGTAACATGCTGATCGATCCCGTATAAGACCTTTGCCTTAGTGACGTACCCGATGCTCTCCTGGTGGTCTTCATGATACTTAAGGGCGCCGCTCTCTAGACGATGAAGAAAATGTTGAACGAAGACCTCGCGGGCGGCGGCATTGAACGGTTCCATCTTCCAGGACCTGGAGAAATCAACCCGAAAGTTTGCAACGTCAAGGGGGATAGTGGTCTCGTCAGCTTTGTACTGGGCGACTTCGTCAACAGTCAGGGGAGGAGGTAAACGTTGAAGCTCCGATACTTGATAAGATTTGATCTTGAGGAGGGTTTTGAACACGTCTCGTATATCCTCCTGCAAATATGTTGTTGTTATTGTCTGAGACTACGACCAATGATCGTACATACCAGTAGAGGGGTCCAGCAATCATGATTTCGATAGCCTTGAGGCTGGCCGTTCAATTCGGGGGCGACAGTAGGGTTGATGGCCATGAAGTGAGCCAGTCTAGCAGATCTACGTCGTTTGACGGGGCTGCGGCTTCGTTTCGATTTCCGAGGCGTGGATGACCCTGCCACCGAAGGCTTGAGTGGGTCATTGACCACGTTCGCTGTCTTTTCCACTGCCTGCGCCATGCGGTCTAAGCCATCCTTCAGATCCTTCCTCATGGCTTCTTGCGAGACCTCCATGCGTTGTGCAAATACGTTCATACTGTCCAGGAGTGCGACGTTTAGGATATGGGGTGTATTATCCGGAGGCGAGGGGTTGTAGACTGGGGTGCTGCTCTGGTGCACTCCCTTGGTGACGCCCATCTCGACATCGATTTGTGTGTATGGCTGAGCGGATCCTGGCAAAGTACTTACACTGGTGGAACAGGGAGTATGACGCGTAGAACGTCTCGATCGTGCTTGAGAAGGACGGCTGGTGGACGGACGTGTGGTCGATGCCTTCGGCCTAGCCTTGGGTGCAGTTGATACGGAAGGATATGACGAGGTAGCATTGGAGTTGTCGAGCGGTAGCACTGAGGGATGAGACGGACAAAAAGTGTCCGCTGCATTGCCTTGTTGGGTTTTGTACACGACACTATTAGAACCTAGCAAACGCGTCAGTCCAAAAAGAAATTGTAAAGATAAAACTATGATAGCGTACCGCCGGTACGAAGCTCTGGCAGCAGCGTGTACTGGTGACCTTCTTGAAGCGGAAGCGATGGTGCGCGGCCCTTGTTCGGCGCTGTTTGCCACTGCGCATGAGAGCCTTGAGGAGCATCGGGGTGCGGTAGACCGTTGCCGTTGATGGCGTTCGGAAGGTTAGGAGGTAGCAAGTTGCTAGTCGGGAGACCTGCAGTATACGGGGTTGGCGTGGCAAACTGATTTCCAAGCAGCCTGGGGTCACCGACACGTCCTTCGCGCAGGTATTGCTCGCGCTGTTGTTTCTCGTAAACATGTTGGTTGCGATAGTCGCCAAGTGGATGCCCGTAGAGTCCCTGGTCGCGACTGAGCTGATCCTCGGCGCGACGGTCGAACATTCGTTGTTCGTGGATGGGCTGGTCATGGGTCCGATGGTAGTGAAAACCTTGTTCACGCAGCCGTTGCTCGTGGGCTTGGTGTTCGCGGACGCGCAGTTCGTGAGCCTGCTGCTCGCGGACGCGTAGCTCATGAGCCTGCTGCTCGCGGACGCGTAGCTCATGAGCCTGCTGCTCACGGACGCGTAGCTCATGAGCCTGCTGCTCGCGGACGCGTAGCTCATGGGCTTGCTGCTCGCGGACGCGTAGCTCATGGGCCTGCTGCTCGCAAACGCGTAGCTCGTGGGCCTGCTGCTCGAGGATGTGTTGATCGTGGGCCTGCTGCTCGCGGACGCGTTGATCATGGGCCTGCTGCTCGCGGATGCGATGTTCCTGCTCCTCGAGAACGCGTTGCTTGTGGGCCTCCTCTTCACGGATGCGTAACTCGTGGGCCTGCTGGTCGAGGATATGTTGATCGTGAGCCTGTTGCTCGCGAACGCGTTGATCGTGGGCTTGCTGCTCGCGGACGCGCTGTTCGTGGGCTTGCTGCTCGAAGACTTCGTGAGCCTGTTGCTCGCGAACGCGTTGATCGTGAGCCTGTTGCTCACGAACGCGTTGATCATGAGCCTGTTGCTCACGAACGCGTTGATCGTGAGCCTGTTGCTCGCGGACGCGTTGATTGTGGGCCTGCTTCTCGCGGACGCGCTGTTCGTGGGCCTCTTCCTCGCGAATGCGTAGTTCGTGAGCCTGCTCTTCGCGGACGCGCTGTTCGTGGGCCTCCTCCACGCGAAGGTGTGGGTCATGAATTTGCTGCTCGGGAGTCTGCTGGTCTTGTAGCGGCTGCTCGTGGGTCTGCTGCTCGTGGACCCGGTGATCGTAAGTCTGTCGCTCGCAGAGCTGCTGACCCTGGGTTTGTTGCTCGCAAGAGTCGTTGTAGGGAGTTGGATGGTGGTCAACGGCAAAATTGCGGTTCGATGTATCCTTGGACTGCTGAACTAGGGGCAACGTCGCGGGTAGAGCTGTACGAGGTGATTGAGTCCCAAGGATGTAACATATGATATGAAGAATTGGTTACCGGCTTCAATGCCATCTACACTCTCCTCCATCACGGTATCCTCTTCCTTGGGACCGGCGGAATGTTCAAGGACAGATGGCAGCAGTTGGGCAGGTCCAAAAGCAAGACTGATCTGAGGTTCGTCGCTTTTACCCGTACTATCATTAAGAACTGACGAGGCAACTACACTAGAACTCTGCACGGAGTGAGAAACTCAGACAAGTCACAGAAATCAGGGGAACATTACCTGGGTGCTTAAGTTATTTTCGGCGGCCTGAGTCGCTCCTTGAAGGACTTGGATACCAAAACTGAAGCTGAAGGGCTTGGCAGGCAAAACTGAGGGACCGGTGGGTATGGTCGTAGCTTGCGTAGGTCGCGGACTCGCCGAAGCATGCGTCCGAGAAGCACGACTGGGATGCGATAAAGGGAGTGGAGCGATACGCCGGTTGCGAGGAACCAGCGGAAGGTGGGGTGGGTTGGCAGTGGTATTTTCTTCATACTGTGCTTCCTTGTCTGTCTTGTCAAGAATGCGGTCGCCGTTCTCGAGGACGGTTGAGTTACCCGGGCGACGCTGAAGTCCTGGTATCTAGAGAGTCCCATCGCTAGGAGTCAGGTTGTGGAGCTCGGTCTATGGTCAAAATACATACGTCGTCAGCCCGCCAGAATTTATTGGGGTTCATCATGTCGAGTTCCATGGTTGATGGCCCCTGTTTCAAGGCTGCTTGATTGGCGTCGAACAGTACCACACAGAGATCGTTCACTGTTGGAGACTGACTGCGGCTGGCGGAGCTCTCAGCAGCTGGGGGAACGTCGTCGGGCTCGGGGGATGTCGGCGATGGCCCGGTAGACATAGCTCAGGTATTGAGCAGTGGACAAGGAAGGGAAAGGCGAGGGTGGCATTGGGTTGACAGCGTCTTTTAACGGTGGACAAGTCGGACATCCCGAACGGACGCTGTCTACGCGTTTAGTGTGGAACAAAGCGTGTTAATTACCTATTTGGGAAACAAAGACTAGTCGTAGCTCGAAGCGTAGCTAGCTACCCAAGCCGTAGCCGACGCCGTAGCTCAAGCGCTCAAGCTCAAGCCGTACCCCACGTCCAACCCAAGCGCAAGATGCTTAGCCTAGGTGTATGATTTCTCCCGCAGAAGCCTTGTTAGTAGGCCACCGTTTCCCTGGGCGTGTTTTTGAGGAAGGGTATTCGGTGCGCGAAATCTGGCGACGCGGCCGGTGCTCAACGTTCAACGTTTGTGTCTACATTTCCTACCCGGCGCAGTGTTATTGCCATAAGGATTACCGTGTTCATTACTGGTCATCATAAATATCTAAAATGTAGATAGAAGGATACATGTGTTCATCTGATGTAAAACCCTTCTTCGGTGTGCTGACTCGCACGAGTATAAGACCCCGACTTGACCAAAGGAAAGCACTGGAGCAGGATAATTACAGCGATAAATATAGAGGTCCCAGAGCTAAGGAACTGGGATGGATCAGCACCTTGTCAACAGGTATAACACGCATAGGCACTCACCTCGGTACCGCGCTGCACCCAAGTGAAAAACTCCACCATGGCGATCCGTAGACCCAGCGCATGCATTATATCCGCAAAAAGGAACTCGAAATTAAACGGTGATGACCTCTGAGTCTTAATGAGACGACGTTTGAAGTTCTGCAACAACGTTAGTTCGACGATGACTATGCAGATCAAGTAATCGTACATGCTCTCGTGTTCTCCCCTTCGAGTCTCGAATCGACAACTCACGTAACGAGCCAGTCGTATCGACACAAATACCAACGGAGGAGTCATCTCGAGATGCAGCGGATAACTGCTTCATCGTCGTGTTCATGAATCGGCCGCCTTGGGGAAGGTCATTCTCCGCAGCGACTAGCGCAGGCGTATTGTCCGTTGACGGGTTGTCGCATATCCGCAAGTTTGAAAGCCCAGTTTCGAGGAATGATACATCTCCACTATCGCGATTTTCAGTATCGGTGACGAGGGCCGGGGTGCAGGGAAAGCGCGACAGCTCCTCTTCGAGAGTGAAGTGGCAGTTACCGGATGTGACATCGTTGATTTGTTCGCGCAAACCATCCATGTCCTGAGAAAGGCTCGAGTGCTGGGACTGAAGGCACAACACTTGAGACACAAGCTCTGAGACGGTGGTCGACTGACCCGTCAACTCCTCGATGAGTTTATCAGCCGTACCAAACTTATCACATAATTGATGGATGTCTCCCTTCAAATCGCCCTGCAAGCTCTTGACCATATCGAAGTCTTTGTGAAGCAAAGTGAATTTGTCGTGCGTCGCCTGTGATTGGGTAGCCTTGTAATTCTCGAGTACAGTAAGGAGTCGATGTTCGGTTTCCCTCAAAGAGTCTGAAGGAAATGGTTAGCCGCGTACAGCGTATGCAGCGGGATGCAAAGACATACTTGTTTGTTTTTCAGAGCCCTTTGAGACGCTCTCGTGGAGGGTTTCTATTTTTTCTTCTAGTTGTCCTATATGACTTTCCAGCGAAGAAACCGTGTTCTGGTGTACGTTCTAGAAATTATTTAATGACGCCTAGCGTCATCTTGATGTTCAAACTCACAATATCAACGGCCGACGCTCGCATTTTCTTCTGGGCTTGACTCACGTCCTCATTATAAATGGCAAGACTCTCCTCTAGAACGGCAATCCGCTGTTCGTTGCATGAGATTGCGCTTTCCAAACCTTCGAGTCGTCTGATAGCTTCAAGAACAAGGTTTTGGACGTCAGTGAGGGCCGACGCGCCGGCTGTGGCAGGGTCAGGCGAGGGAGGGGATGATAGAGGAGAATCGTCGTCGCTAGCGTCAAAAGGCATGGCGGAGTAGGCAAAGAATTGAGGGGGTGACCGTGGGTCCAGGCTATGCTGAGAGGTGGAGGACATGGAGTACACGGAGGGTGTATATAGACCCTATGAAAGGGAGACGCTCAAGCGACGTCATGAAGACAAATGTTGGCTTTGTTGGCTTTGTTCCTCAAGTGTGAGGTGGTTACGGTAAATGCATAGACGCTGCAGGCGATTTCGGGAGTAATAGTATCTTAGCGAATCGCTGCTAATCGCGCGCCGGGCGCGACCCTAACCCTAGGCTTTGAGCCCAACCCCTTGTCGCGTGTCGTTTTAGCTGGTTAGCTACTGTCCTCCACCGCGTCACATCTAAGGGTGCCGTTGTTCCTCATTCACTGCCCATGATCTCCCTCCTCTTACCCTCTAGGGCTCAACGCATGACTCTACGCCTCCATCAAATCCTCGTCCAGGCGGTCAAAGCGAACTCAACGGAGACTAGCAAGCGGGCTACGCTTAGCCCTGTTCAGCACATCGACATGGATCAACGTCTAAGTGTACCGCTACATATGGACTTCTTTTGTGAGTATTGTCATGGCTGGCACGACATATAAATTCCTGAACAACTCCCCTTCGCTGTCATAGACCACAGATCGCCTACCTCCTTCTGTGGTAGCTCTGTGGTAGCTCACCGGCACGTTGCACCCCCTCAGGACCCATGCAAGGCATTCTCAACCTCCTCAAATGGCGCCCGGAAACACCCAAATTAACCGATGACATACTGCAAGCCCCCTTCAATATCCTACAGAATTACCAAGAAGCGCCCAAGTCCATCGCATCCACTGCGTCCGCTCTATCTGCTGCGTCCACTCCATCCGCTGCATCCGTTGCGTCCGACGACACCGGTGAAGTCATCTTGGGTATCCTATATCCTCTTAGTTCAGAATTGGAGCGCATTGAGCTTTACGGCGATCAGCCAGTGACTTGTATTGGTCGGAACCCCGAAGATAACGATGCAGTCCTTCTCGGTCTTCAAGTCAGTGAGTATCACTCTTCCCTTAGTATTCGGGATACACTCTCATTACACCCCCTCCCCTTCGCGCCGCTGCTATCTTTTTCTCTCTCTTCTCGTAGGCAACAAGCACTGCAAGATCACGTTGGACGGTCGGGGCGACGGAAATTTTCATGTCACGGTGACTGATTACTCTACCAACGGTACCTGGGTACGCATTCATACGCTTGCAACCTATCGATTCACGCTGAATACATGTTTAGATTAACGGGTCCAATATAGGAAAGGGTCAAACTCGGATTCTGAAAGACGGGAATGAGATTGCATTTGGGCAGTCCCGCGCGCAGCGCTATCCGCCTGCAACAGATTACCGTGAGTTATCTACACCCATACGCCCTGTTATTCCCTCTCTTACACAACAGACTACTTCATTAGGTTATATTTATCGCCGCTGCGCCTCGACTCCCCCCACTGGTCTTCACGCACATTACGACGTTGGGCACCAACTCGGCCAAGGTAGCTTTGGCACCGTATCCAAAGCTCTCTCGCGAAAGACCGGCATATGGTATGCTGTCAAGGTTATCCGTCCTCCGGCGCTTCAGCGGACTCGACTCTCGCCGAGGAAATTATCAAAAGACCTCGTTAATCAAGCTCGCCAAAGAAACCAAAAATTCGTGTCGGTCATTGCTCAGGAAATCGCGGCCATGGAAAAACTTCAACACAAGAATATATGCCAGATAGAGGAGGTATTTTTCTCGGAACATTCTATCAGTACGTTTTCCTCATTTCACCTCGTCTCCAACTCGTTTGCTCATCCGTGGACAGGCCTCGTCCTTGAGTATATAGATGGGGGAGATCTAATGGGTTTCATTCGCAAACACAATGGCTTAGGTACGGACCCCGCCTGCACGTCTAATAGTATCTTACTGACACACCATCAGATGAATTTACGGCCTGCAACATGACCCATCAGATTACGACCGCAATGGCTGTAAGTCCGCTTCTTAGTCAATCTGAAAAACATCTGTTAACGAATAGAGCAGCACATTCATGGGCGCGGGATCATTCATCGTGATCTCAAGCCTGAAAACATTCTGCTGACGTCAGACAACCCACCCATCGTCAAAATCGCCGACTTCGGTCTCGCCAAAATTGTCGACATCCAAACGATCGTGAAGGTTCTTAATATACCTTTTACTAGATTGGCCCATGGGCTGATATTTTGCTGTAGACAGAGTGTGGAACACCGACCTTCATGGCCCCCGAAGTCATGACACGCCAGAGTTACAGCCATCTTGTCGACTCTTGGAGTGTCGGCATCATCGTCTACGGGATGATGACTACCTACTTGCCGTTCTTCGAAGATCCCCCCATGGACATCAGGATCCAGGTTGCTGACCGCACGATCGACTTGTCCGCTCTCGATAATGTTAAGCCAAGCAGTGCAGGTACATATTTCCTCCTGTCCCCCGCCGCACTCCGTCTAATGTCCTATTTGTTAGCTAAACACTTCATCGAGTCCCTCCTCCAATATGACCCCAATCGTCGACTGTCTCTTATCAACGCGGAAAAACACCCGTGGCTCGTCAAGCACAATACTATAGTTCGCGGGACTTCAATGGAGATTCAAGCCACCTGGCAACGGCAGGCCATGGTTCCAGGCTCAAACAAGCGCGGGCGAACTGAGGAGCATGATCGACGGGTGCGGCAATGGGACGAGCAGTAAGAGCGCGTTAGGCGCAATATAAGCAGGTGTAGACGACAGCGAACGTATGTTACGATATTGGCACCTGGCGCGACATAGGTCCGCTGTGGTAAGGGATCTGGCCGGTTCCAGATCATAATTCGAGTACGTTAATAGGTACAGAAAATAAAAACTAATTTCCTTTTCCGATGTTCCTGTGGGCGCGGTCTCCCCTTTGGTGTGCGTTGTTTTCTCTGGTGTGCGTTGTTTTCTCGAAAAGGCAGTCTCGCGCACACAACGCAGCCGCGCGCGCACAACGCAGTCTCACCCATACTAGTCTCGCACACACCAATCTCCAAATCCTCCGCAGCATGCACGCAGCGCCACCTTCCCCGCTATCTAAGCCTCAAGAGCCACATCCCCTTCCCACCAAAACCTACATACTGAAGAAGAAAGTAAGAGGACCTCTCAAGCAGCTAGTGACTTGCCTCGGTCTCAGCCCTCGGGGGCGCTTCGTTGCAGCTGGCTGCCTGAACGGTGCTGTCGCCGTGTGGTCAACACACTCAGGTACCCTCATCTTCTCCTATGAGCTGCAGGTTCCAGTGGTCTCGCTTGTGTGGAGAGCACCGTCTGAGGAAGCATTCTTCATGGGACTAGGCAATGGTGCCATCGTCTATGTCAAGGTTCATAAGGTGCGTACGGCCCAGTGGTTGTCTCATATGCTTGTATCGACCAATGTCTTCAGGATGCCCTAGAATGTATCCGGGTCCCCCCTCGTAGCAATCATCCAGTCGAGTGTCTGGCGATCCAAGGCCATATGCTGGCCACAGGTGCGCACGGAGAGGTCCGTGTATGGCACTTCGCGGGCGAAGGTGTGTATGACCTTGGTGTAGGATCGTGAATGCACTCTGAAGATGACCTTTCTTAGCCCAGTTAGAGCCTTTATCGTTGCTCGACTTACCCCCAGTTGTTGGGGAGAATATGAATGCCGAAGTCATTGCGAGCAGTTTACACTGGATATCCACGTCATTGTCCCCGCAAGTCCTTCTTGTCTGCTACGTCCATCACGGCATCGTGTCTGTTTTCTCGTTTTTGTTAATAGATACCTTACTGATGTGTCAATTTTTTTTTCAGATTATGGGACGCCCGGACACGGAAAGCCATAGGGTTTCATTCAGTTAAAACTATGATGTAAGCCTCATTTTGTTCCTTACCATAGCTCGGCTCACCTTGCCTCACAGAGGAGGATCGTCAATCACCCTCGATCATAGATTTCTGGCTATTTCTAATATGACGAGTGGCTTCGATATCTACGACTTTTCGAATCATATGAAGCCTTGTGGCATATTTCACCAGAAATCCATTGGTCGCTACGCTCGGGTTCCCGTCTCATTCGCTCACGCTGGTCGATACTTGGTTGGGCGCTACTCCGCAACCGAAATTCGGATTTGGGATATGGAGACTAGGACGGCGGTGTATTCTCTGCCGCACGAAAGTGCGTACTGAGTCTAGCGTAAAGTTCGGTCTAGACTTACTATTTCCGCGCAGCGAGCGAGGCTGTTGTCGCTATAAGCGTGAGCTCCCTAGTGTTCTCTAAATTTCTCAGCTCATATTTCTTCGACTACCGCCTAGGGGACTATGCACCACGATCAACTTGAAGAGGTGCCCCCGTTGCTAGTCTCTGCCACGCTGTCTAGCGATGACGAGACAAGCAGTATTTACCTTTGGCACGCACAAGACATATGCACTGCGCCTGCTACTCATGAACCATCTCCCATTTTAGAGCGGTACGCACCTGTAAGTCTCTGTTTATTAATTCAGGCTCGGCTTATCTCAACATTTTCGAAGGTATACTTTTATCTTGCGGTTGCGCTCATTATGGTGGCTGTAATAACCGAACCATGGCTACATATGGATGTACAATTTAATCTTCGTACTCGATAGAGGCGTCTGCTGTACCAAATTCCTTTTTCGTCAACCTGCCAATAATAGCTACTATACCATCGTTGGTCGATGCACTACTACCCTTCACGTAGACCCATCATGTCCGATCCTCCATCATCGCTGAAAGATCCACGAGCATCAAGGAATTATGCTTGCACGTGTCCACAATGCAGAAGGTCCGGAAAGTTTATCACAACCGAACACGGGGAAACAATACCTGGAAGAATGGTTAATGCCAATATGTTCAGGCGTCACAACCTGAAGCCACCAGCGCAGCTACAGACGACCCATACAGAACCCAGCTCCGAATCGATTCTGCGAACGGTAGAAACTACTGTTCTTGCCGCTGCCCTGCGGCCGGATCCGAGTGAAGGGGATGCATCGAGGGGTAGTCTTCCTGTTCGACCGAGAGACACGGAACTTCATGCAACTAGCGCTCACGCACAAAGTACGGTGAGCAGTACAGGACACCAGAACGTGAGGATCCTCGTTAAGTACTCATTGACTACCCTGTTATAGCAGTTCAGTAACGATCATACCGGGCATCCTCAGGACAGTCTGGATGGAGATGAACCCGCGGTTGAGCCCGGCGCTGTTGATTCAAACGATGTGCGTTACAGCGTAATGAAGTCAGGGAAACACTCATTTCTCTGATTTTAGAGTCTCCATCGGACACTGACGTCTATGAGTACCGATTACAAAAGCCGAGACCGATCTTTCAGTTTAATGCAAACCAACCTGGTCTTTAACGTTGGCGACGATCCTGACAGTCACCTCGAATGGAATAATGCTAGTACTCTCGAAGAGTTCGAGAAAATACCCATCCCCCCTCTCTCTTCTCATCCCTCTAATGTATATTTCATCCAGCATGAGGCGTGGCTGTCATCTACAATTCGATCACTTCACCATCTACCCGTAGCAAGGGACCAAGATATGAATAGTAGGCGCAACTCACTTCTTCATCAAGTGGAGAGCTCTCTTGATGCACTGCGTGCTATCAAGCGAACTCAGTTTCTGTCGCATGCTGTTCAAAGATGCCTCGCACGCAACATGAAGCAGAAGCTCACCATCGATCCCAACCTCGATACCGAGGCCCGGTCGATCGGGCCCGAGCTCGTGTCTACCGGTGAGCGATGTCATTTTCTCGGTGTACATGTCAGGCCTAACGTAGACTCACGTCTCCACAGAGCGCTTTTTCGAGGCGAACAAGGCCGTTTTGAACTCAGCCCTGGCTATCGGCTCCTTCCTTACGGTTGTTCTGCATGTCTTAGGGGGGATCTCCCGAACGGACGCGAATGTTTTGCTTTCAGGTCTACAAGCCATGGTTGTCGCTGCATTCTTGCAGTTTCGGGGCGGCTCAGACGAATCCCAGCCCTCCGCTCTGTCCGCAGACAAGGAGGCTATTGTCGACGATCTCCCAGATGACATGCGCACAGCTCTCAATCACTTTGATATTGCACCTGAGCTTGTTCACCATGCTTGTTGCTCGACATGCTGTGCTACTTACGCCCCCGATCCGCAGATCGCTGACCTATATCCGGAGAGATGCGGTTACAAGGACCTGAAAGGCAACGTTTGCGGTACTCCCCTCCTCCAGTCAGGCGAGAATACGCAAGGCGGCAAGCGAACTCGCAAACCGATCAAAACCTTTGCATACCAGCCGCTTTCGTCATGGCTTGCCCGTCTTTTCGCCCGTCCCGACATCGAGCAGTTGCTGATTCGGGGCACTCAAGCCGAGTCTAAGAACGACAAGTGGGAAGATATCTGGGACGGGACGGCCTTACGTGAACTCAAGGGGCCAGACAACCGACCCTTCGCTCTTCCTGTCGGGAACAACGCTAACCTGGTATTCAGCCTGTTTGTAGATTGGTTTAACCCGTTCGGCAACAAGGCTTCTGGAAAGACACACTCTACAGGGGCTATCTACATGGTTTGTCTCAATCTTCCACCTCACTTACGATATAAACTGGAGAACGTTTATCTGGTCGGAATCATGCCGGGCCCACACGAGCCATCCCTCGATCAAATAAATCATTTTCTTAGACCGCTGGTCACCGACCTCCTACGCCTGTACAAGCATGGAATATACCTGAAACGCACGTATCTTTACCCGGCAGGCCGTCTCATTCGCGTAGCTCTGGGCCCTCTGATCTGCGACCTGCTGGCAGCGAGGAAGACTGCAGGGTTTGCTGGACACAGGGCTAATCTGTTTTGTTCTTTCTGTCAGCTTCCACTCAGCGACATCGCCGACTTGTCAAAGGCTTCGTGGACGAGACGAACAGCTGAACAGCATCGTCTGGATGCGATACGGTGGGCAGAGGCGCCATCGGAGAATGCTCGGCAGGTAGCTCTCAAGCGCCGTGGAGCTCGGTGGTCCGAGCTACTGCATTTGCCGTATTGGGACGTTGTTAGATACACCGTTGTTGATGCAATGCACAACTTATTCCTCGGTATGGTTTCGAAGTCAACACAGGGATTATCTACCTAACCTGTACCTGCTCTAGGCGAACTGCAGTTTCACTGTCGGAATGTCTGGGGACTGACCATGAAATCAGATGAGAAAAAGGGGGTTGCTACTCTGCCTCACAAGCCACAAGAGCAGAGACTCAATCTCGACAGGGTCGTCGACGGCATCATTACCGATGACTTCAACAAAATCGATAGGTGTCGGAAGGAGTATATTATGGCCATAGCAGAAGCAAACGACGTGACGCCCGAGGGCCCGGACATGACGAAGAAGTCCTTCACCTTTGCCTTGCTAGATTGGGTACGTCTGCCTCTTGTGTAACCGGAGTCATCTTACGACGGAGTGGGCGATAGTATAAATCCAACAATAATCCAGAGATCAAACGCCCTATCATCAAGGATGAAGACGAGATAATGGAGGACTTAGTCTTGGAGACAGAAGCTGACGACGACTCGTTCGACTTCAATATTATCAAGAAGGATCTCCTGTTGCTAGTTCAGGCGGACATGAAACAAACGACATATCCGACGTGGTTGGGCCGACCTCCTCGCAACTTTGGTGAGCCTGCTCATGGCAAACTTAAGGCTGATCAATGGCGCACTGTCTGCAGCGTGTCTCTTGTCATCACGCTAGTTCACAAGTGGGGCGCCGATGGTGCCTCTCATCAAGAAAAGCAGTACCTTCGAAACTTCCTCGACCTAGTCATCGCAGTTGACATCGCCACTCGACAAACAACCTCTCCTCAGCGCATACAGACATACATTGACAAGATGACAGACTACCTTGGTGGTCTGCTCGATCTTTATCCCGACGTCTCGCTCGTCCCCAACCACCACCTTGCCCTCCATCTTGATGAATGTCTCCAGCTCTTCGGACCAGTTCACGCATGGTGGTCGTTCCCTTTCAAAAGATACAACGGCATCATGCGAGAAATCAATGGCAACCACAAGTCGGGTGAGCTCTTCTTGGTCATTCTCTATTCCTTTCGTCGTACTTAGGCTGATGACTGTGTTAGCCGAGATGGAGTTGACCTTTGGAAGATACTTTACTATGGCGGCTAATCTCCGCGTCATGGCCTCCAACATGTCCTTTCCTCCGTTAAAGCAGTTCGCTCGTTTTCAAGACCGACTCGTCAATGCGTTCTCGGCGATCTCCACCCGTCCTCTAGATCAGTCGCTTTTCCGTGGACAGCTTGCCGGTCATGACGGCCCTAATGCTGAGTATATTCCGGGTGCCACCAAAACACGAGGACATCTGCCGCAGCATATCTTCGAACGACTCCTGGTTCTAGTCAACCAAACGTCTCAAAGTCGGTATGTTTCGTGGAGCTCCGGAGAACGAAACATGATAATCCTTCCTTCCGAGGCCCAACACGTCAGCACTGTTCAGTCCGGCGGCGTAACCTTCACGGTTTCACAGGGGTCTCGTTCCTCAGGAAATTCATTCATCCTTTTTCGCATTCCTCACTCGCTTGCCGGGACAACTGTGTTGGCTGGGAGAATCCAGGGCATCTTCTATCACTCGCGCCAGGAGAATAGGGCGATGAAGACAGAGACGTTCATGGTTGTCAAGTCGTATGAAGCGCTGTCACCCTCGGATGCGGTTCGTGATCCCTTTGTTCGAATCGAGCATCTCGGAGCCTGGCTGTGCTACAACACGTTGGAACCCACCGAGCACGTTGTACGCGCTAGCGATGTCATCGCACACTTTGCATCGTTCGCATATGTCCCAGATGGGCTGTCGCGAGAGTGCATCGTAGTACGCTCGCTCAATAGAGTAAGAGAGCTTTGTTACCGCTGGCGATGACATTTGGCTGACGTCGACTTGACAGACATAAACTCCAGCGTCGTAGTCAGTAGCAGAGTACAAGGTCGCGTAGCTCTTTCTTTGCCGCCGTAGCTAAGTTGTCGGAGATAAAGTTAGCTAATTGAATTGATGACTTGATCGACAGTGGGCGCGCCAAGTCAATTCGCGTATGAACTGTGGGTGCGTTGGACTAAAGAAGGAAATTGTTTGCCTAGTGTTTGTACGCCGTTGTCTGCAGTCCCCCTCAATCCCCCATCTTGCCCTACCTTACCTTGTTGTTCTTTTGGCAGCGGCAGAAAACAAGAAGATAGGAACAAGGAGCCCACCCAATCGCCAAAAACCTGGCAGGCGGAGACATGGCCCAACCTAAAGGTAGCGGAGGGTTCTCCAACATAAAAGCTAGCTAACCTCGCCCCCTTCCTCAGCTCATCGTACCTCCTTTCGCCCACCAATCCTCTAGAGCTCACGCCAGCATCACCTACATCTCTATGCCCACTACACCCACCAAAACCAATCCATACTCCAACACCACCCTTTGGGGTAAAGTCCGCCTTTCCGTATCCGAGGAAGATGAGAGCGAGTACGATGTGCTGATGTTCGTCGGACTGGACCTGTTCCATATCGGCAACGGCTCTTGCTGCAACCTGCGTATATCTCATGAATCTGTTCGTAAGTGTTCGTTTACTTCACTCCCACGTTCTCCCCCTCACGCTTTTTTGCAGAATTCTTACACGTGTCCATTTACCGTGTCGGAGACGTAATCAGTAACCCAAGCTATTGGGTGGACAACCACAGCGCCGATGGAGTAGTGGTATGTATCATCGTGCTTTCCTTCCCTCCTTTAGCTCACGATGACTTTGGGAACATTCAGGTTGACGGTGAGACGCTGCCTAAGAAGACCTTGACCGAAATCTTCGACGGGTCCCTCATTGAACTTAACGATACGACTGGGGTGTTTATGGGTAAGATCAACCTTACTTTGTTAATTACGCCGCTCAAGCATCATCAACAGCTTTTAAATTTTCGGGCGTCACACCTGAAGCGGTGAGTTGTTCTGGCGTGATAAGTATTGATTGGCTACTCAAGAAACTCAAAGTTCACTTCCGTTTACAAGATCGGAAAGCAGTGAGTCTTTGTCTCGTCTGGCATTGTGCGAACGAGTCGGCTCATTATCTATACCAGTATTGGATCGGGCGGCTTCGGGAGTGTTTACGAAGCTGAGAATAGGAAGACGGGAACCCTTTCTGCAGTCAAAATTATACGCAAGATTGGGCTCAACAGCCCAAATCGCGAAGAAGACGTTCACGTTATGCAAGAGATCTTTCTCCTGCAGCGACTGCGCCATGTGAGTAGCAGGATCATAGTTCTGTCGGCTTTCTTGTTCAGTCATCAATTAGCCCAAAATCGTTTCGCTCCAATCAGTGCATGAAACCAACGACCGATTTTGTACGTCTATTCTTTCTCTAATTCCCGGCGTAGCCATTAATATTTACCCTTCAGTTCTTGTGATGGAACTCGTCCCTCACGGTGATCTGCTTTCACTCATTCTTCGGGAGGAAGGACTAGGTGAGCCATGAAAAACTGTGCTGGTGCAACGTATCGGTATTAAATTTTCAACAGTCGAACACAAGGCTCAAAAGGTTATGGTCGACCTATGCGAAGCCCTTAGGGTAAGTGCGAGTGTCCAGTTGGGTATGCGGACGCTCTACTCACCAAGCAAGCGCAGTTTCTGAGGATGCGTAATATTCTACACCGTGACATTAAACCAGAGGTACGTCTTCCCTTTTTTGATGAATTGACCAAGCTTCTCACACATCCTTCGTAGAACGTTCTAATTACCAGCATGAATCCGCTCAATGTGAAGCTCGCAGATTTCGGACTCTCCAAATTCGTTCATTCGGGGACTGTGGCGAAGGTTATTCTCCGGATTCTACGAAATGAATAACTGTCTGACAATTTCTAGACTGTGGTGGGCACACCGGTCTATTATCCCCCCGAAGTTCACAACTGCAGGAGTACCAACGGCAATTACGACCACAAGGCAGACATGTGGTGCCTTGGAGTGACGTTGTTTGTAATGTAAGCTTTTGCATTCGAGTAAGCGGGAAATGGCTTACGGTATCCTAGGCTTAGTGCCTGCGACCCCTTCGACGAAAATGACCTGCAGTGGGATCGAGAGCTCAAGCGCTACGTTGATTTGCGATGCCCTAAATGGGACTACATATCGCACACAAGTCCAGAAGGTGTGTATTGTTCATCGCGAGCATACAAGGTACTCAGCTAACGTTCCGTTCCTCACGCAGCCTCTCAGGTTGTCCGGGTTCTCTTGAGGAGAGACCCTCAGCATCGTCCCGACGTCGACCAAGTTGTTCGGATGGCTTGGCTCATGGAAGCCTGGCGGCAGCGAGAGAGATTTACCATACAAATCCCATACTATACCGTAGATTTCCACGACGAATAGGCTCGTGGCTGTAGTGATAGAAACACATAAACTCTATTGAATAAACCAACATCTTCCATTCGCAATCCTTCTCCAGCGCATTCTTGAATCACCTACTGGCAATTTTGTTTTCTCCAGAAATGACCAAAAAGGAAAGTGGTCAAATCGACGCACGTCGCTGAGCCAGCCAACCATTCGCTTCCTTCACGCAGCTTTTACCTTCGTAATTCCCAAAGTCTCCGAGGCTCTCGTGTGCTGGGTCCAACGCAGCCTGGGTGAGCTGCACTTCACTCTTTCTCTCCTTTCACCGTTAACTAACGTATGTTCTCAATTACCTTCGTTAAGAGTGCAACCTACAGTATACTGCAAACATTGACGATGTCTGTATTGTCGGGTATAGAAGCTACGGTATGTCCTTACCCTTGCTGGACCGGCGTTTTGAAACTCACGCATATGCAGGTTATGCCACACGACAGTTTTGACGAGGCACTCAAGGCCAAACTGGATCGTCGCAAGCTCAGAAACACGACACAGAACACAGGGAACTGTATGGACGAGATGTTAACGGAATTGCAACGGAATTGCCGCCCCCTCGTATCAGTGCTTCACGCCCTAGTTCCCGTCTGTTCATCGCTCCTATCATCATAATCTTGGTCGCAGCAGGACTATCTCGCCTAGCCCGTTGCGTGCACCACAGCAGTTTTGACTCATGCGTCCCAATTCATGTCGCCGCCAGCATCCTTCCCCATGTGAACACCAATATCCTCTCCCATTTGTTTACGGATTCCGGCGACCTAGACCAATGAATCTCAGCGCTCGAAGAAGCCGTAAGCGAGCTGCAGCGTTTGCTCAGTGAGCCACCGCCAACTCTCCGTTCTGCATCAGCCACCTTAGAGAACATGCTGCACCACACGCCTTTTGAACATCCACAAAGCCTTACTTCTTTACCCGCCGAGGCCGGCAATGGCCCTCAAGATCACATCTCACACGAAAGCTTCTCGCACGCAAGCCAGGACTTGTTCCAGGGCCGTGCTGGCCTTCCGAATTTTGCGCTGCACTCTACGGGGGCGCAAGTAGTCACGGAGCTCACTACCCTTGCCGCCATGACGCCTAGCTGGTGGACTAGGTTCCTTGGGCATTCTCGCCTCTCCGCATATCCACCAGAGACTGCCCTAGCTGTGGGTAACCGCCTTGGCACCTGCTGGAATATGGGGTCACGCTCAGGACAGCTGGGGATTTCACTCACAGAACCCGTCATCGTCTCCCATGTTACCGTGGAGCATATTTCCCGTCAACTTACTCACGACATTAAGCTGGCCCCTCGTCTCCTCGTCTTCTGGGGCCTTGTAGACGAAAAAGACACCGCTCTCGGCTTAGAAAGTATCGCATTTCCTGGTGAACTGAAGGAATTGCTCCTTTCTAGACCAACTCCGCCGATCTCCGCCGGCCAATCCTTCGTACCCCTAGTGATGATAGAGTACGACATTGATTCAGACGCATCAGCGCAAACGTTCCCGGTCCTCAGTGAGATCCGAGCTATGAACATTGTAACCGGCATTGTTGTAGTGGACATTGTTGGCAATTGGAATAGTCCTACTACATGTCTTTACGGTATCCAGGTTCATGGTTCTACGATAGGTGATTTGCCGCCGTCATAGTCTTTCTTGTACTCCCGCTTCCAATGTTCTTCCTTCACCAACGTTAGACGGCCTCCTTCCGTTATTGCAATGTAACGTTCGTAAATAGAAGTGTACCCACCCCCCACTCGAAGCCACCGAGGAGTCCCTTGAGATGAGCGGATCCATACTTGGAAGCCCGTAGAGGATCGATGAAGAAGTAAGTCCTTCGCCTTCGCCTGATCAGGCGGAGTCGTAGGCATATCGAGTAGCTGATCAGAGGAGGTGCCAATCCAATAGAAGCCCCCGCTAGAGTTTGTGTCTCGGTATTTCTGGAACTTACGCTTCTGAAACACCTGCCCACTATCAGCGCACTGTCGTTTCGTTCACTAATGTACGCATACCTGCACACCCTCTGCAGACGTGGCTGACTGGCTGTGGTCTCCTTCTCGGTTTGGAGAAGGTAACTCCCTGCAGTAGCCGCATCAACGAAGTCATTCCATGATACAAAAGGTATTAATAACCTTGGGACGGTTTTAGCCCGACTCTTATCCGTCGGAACAGAGATGCTGCTCATATCGGCTTGTGAGCAAAATGTGCCCTTGCACAAGGATAATGTTGTATACTCACACGGGACCTGCGGGCACGCTGACGCTCCGAAGGGAAGGATCAGCGGAAGCACGGCGAATAAAGGTGTTGATGCTAGCACACACCCAATCAGCGTTGAACTGTGGACGATATGGTATGGACTGACCGTTGATCACGATTCGAGGTAGTGTCCCCGTGTCTGCTATACTCGGACGCGTCGGGTTGAACCCGTGTGGTGTCAGAGGATTGGTTGAACCGTTCTAGGGACCAAGTGAACGTAATTCTCTGTAGTATATCCTCCTTCATGGCATCGCCCCAGTTTCGAGGCCCCGGAAGCCCAATACAAGTAGGTTCCTCAGGGTTCCTACTGAAGGGTGCCTTGTAGCGAAAAAGCCAATCGTTATCGTCTGCGGAAGCTGCTACAAGCATGTAAGCATCCTTCAGATAAACGAGTGCGAGAAGCACAGCTTACGGGGAGTATCCTCCGTCATGCTAGTATTAATGAATGGATCGTCGTAGGTGAGCAAGGTGGACGACGCGACGCGGACGGTGCGGTTCGGAGTTCGAAAATTAGCTCAAAGCTGTGAGCTACAGTGGTAGCTCAAGCGCTGAATATTTGAATGCTCAATAGTTGCTAACGCGGAATCATGTCGTATACGACGTTCCGCGCCTCTCAATCTCGTGCCACGCTCTTCCCCTTTCGCTTCACGGACTGCACCGTCGTCTGACTCACGATTGCTCCTGGGATCATTGCATACAAATGCTGAGAGTGTTGTAAGGTCCATCACCAGCTCAAGGTACGTAGTCAAATTCTCTCAGCACTGGACCATGCACTGTTGAGGTCTTCCTCCTCTGTAACGCGAGTGCATTGGTTGACATCCTTCCACCAGAAGCCGACTCCTCGATATCAGCGCTAATCAAGGAGGGAGGGCCTAGCGTTAGCTATTCCGAGTCATCAGTAGCACGGACGCAAGCAGGAAATCCGCGAGGCTGTTAAGCTACCTCTGACCCACTTCGACCTCTACAAGAAGATCGGTAGTGACCCTCCTCACAGTGTACTGTTATACGGCCACCGGGTAATGTATCTCTTCTCCTTTGGCTTTTGTGCTCTTTCCTCACATACCGAAACTGTTGCAGGTACCGGCCCGAGCTGCAATGCTCTCGATGTCCTCTCCGGTATTCCGACGTCCTCGAGCCTGTTTCCGTGGTCCGTGTGTGCACCTCCCCACCCTTCCCTTCATTGGAGGTGAGTTCGCCATCGACACCCGCCTCGCTCCCTCTTCTTTACCTTAACTTACCGTTTCCTCTCCCCTAGCGATGCCGAT